CTACTGTTATCAAAGTATTTATGACATAACTCTTGGTGCATGGATACCAGTCCAAAGACCATGATATTAGATAGATGGATGGATTTTAGATGGATGGATGGATGGATGGATGGATGGATGATAGATGATAGAGAGACAAAGGGAGAGAGAGGACTATAATATATCCACACAAGACAAATAATAAATTACTATTTTGACAAAAGAGGTATTTCTCCTCAGATTTTCAGCTTATGATTTGCAAAATCATCTCTCTTAGTAGGCATTAGGACTTGACAATGACAAATGCTTCTTGCCAGATTTCTGTTCAAATTACATTGGACAAAAAAGCCAAGCACATCGACAGCAAAATATCAACTTTTGTTCTAACCGAGATGGAAGTATGTACCTTATGAATGACACAGTCATAGGCTCTACTCTAAAACTGACACCTCACTCCACAAGGACAGGGGCTTTGTCTCCAGTTTATGGGATGGCTAGGATCAAGCAGGGCTACACATCTCAGATACAAAGTGAGAAAGGGACGGGAGAACTTAAGCTCCATGTGTCTAGTTCTCCACCTCAGACGCACCAGACAGATGTCTCACTGTTTCTTGGTAGAAAATCATCACTTAAATTCTCCTTCAGAATATCTTTTCAATCTCTGACTTCAAGGCCATTCTTCCTTGATCATCTTTCTTGCACTTGAAGTCATTATTACACAGTGTCTTTATTCTTGTCTAAACTTTATTTCATCACATTGATCATTTATGCTGATACCTTTTACTTTTTTAGTTTGTTTTGATTCAAATATTTCACTTTCATAAATTTCCAAATTCTACTGATTACACTAGCTGTTGAGAATAGCATTTTTAAAAACACTTTTTAAAAATTCTTCTCTAAAAGGTTCTTGGCTTAACGGCACTAAAATGAATTTTAATGAATATGATCAGAGCAGAGATAGCATGGAGAAAAAACAAATTACAAAACCGTGCACGTGGTTCATTCAATGTACACATAGGTAATGATATTGGGAATTACAATTCCACAACAGCCAGTCTCCCTTCCTAATGAAAAGAACCTCTTAGGAATAAAATAGTGATTCCCCCATATTAGATGCTAATAGGTAACACTGGGTGAACAGTGTTCCACCAGTAATGAAAGTTTTAATGTGACAAATAAGTGTACTTTTCACTTATTAACTTCTCTAAAATAGGTTGGATTGATGGCACTGCTACTCACAGGGGATGATGCATAAACTAAATGGTTTCTATGTTTTGTTTTAATACCACTCAGAGTTTAGAAATGAGTCTTACTGGGCTTCCCCTCCTGGAAGCTCTTTTATGGGTAAAAGAGATTTTAAAACAACTTCAGCAAGCTAAGGATATTCATTTTTCATGATTATTAAAAATGAAGCAAGTTATGTTGTGTGCATCAATCCTTCATTAGTAGCAATTCTAATAATTTATGTTGTAGAATTATGGTTTCATTTATATTATTGTTTAATGAAATAAATGGCTTCTGGATCCATGAATTTCCTATGAGCAAATATTCCTTGGGTGGAAAAAATTGAAGATATTCTACAAAATTTATATGATTCTCCATGCTAAATTTGGCAGATGCATAGCAGAATCATTACCTACCTCTTGAAAACCAGTTAAATGTTGGAATGTGTCATTACAATCTGTTGGAAGCCTCCAATGTCTCACTTTTAAGTTTTCGTTGACTTTTTCTTCCACTGGAAAAATGTTGCATTTCATTCTTGCCTAAGCCATAGGATTATTAAAAATGACCAATATGTCAGACAAATAAACAAATATGCCTGCTTTGTTCACATCTGGTTCACAGTTGGAATCAAACTGGTTTCTTACCTGACAAAAACACCACAAGACCTTTTCTTAGTGCATATGTTCTTGATAGATGCTCTAACTTCAATAAACTTATTAGCTCAGCCTGCACTTATAATTATTTAAAATCACTTTGTGTTTTATCACTTAATGATATTTAAATGAAAAATATCAAATATAACCCATTAGCCTTTACATAATTTATAATTTTATTACATCACTAAACACACTGTTTAATTAAAGTGACTAATTTTTTTTTTACTATAACGTTTTAAATGAAGGAAGCATTGTGCTCTTTTACATTCTGGTACAAGCTCCTTAATTAGAATAACTACTTGAAAATGTTTCTCTGCCATTGCAGCTTCACCATTAGAATACCCTTGTACCCAACATTTCCCTTTTGAACTACATTTGTCGGCAATAAAATAAGTCAGTTTTATGGAGAGCAGAGGTAATTGTGTTTGTTTAAAGAAAAAAAAATAAGCAAAAGTGTGAAAGAAAAAAAAGAGAGAGATCTTCCATCATAAAATCATCAAGTTTAAATCTACATATTCAATGCAATCCATATCAAAATAACACCAGCATTCTTCACAGGGCTAGAACTAACAATCCTAAAATTTTTATGGAGCCAGAAAAGACCCCAAATAGCCAAAGCAATTCTGAAAAAGAAAAAAAAAGCTGGAGGCATCACAATCCTGGACTTCAAGATATATTACAAAGCTGTAATCATCAAGACAGTATGCTACTGGCACAAGAACAGACACTCAGATCAAAGGAACAGAATAGAGAACCCAGAAATGGACCCAAAACATATGGCCAACTAATCTTTGACAAAGCAGGAAAGAATATCCAATGGAATAAAGAATTCATCAAATGGTGTTGGGAAAACTGGACACCGACATGCAGAAGAATGAATCTGGACCACTTTCTTACACCATACACAAAAATAAACTCAAAATGTATGAAAGACTTAAAGACAAGACAGAAGCCATCAAAATCCTTGAGGAGAAAGCTGGAAAAAATCTCTTTGACTTCGGCTGCAGCAACTTCTTACTCAACATGTCTCCAGAGGCAAGGGAAACAAAAGCAAAAATGAACTACTGGCACCTCATCAAAATAAAAGCTTCTGCACAGTGAACGAAACAATCAGCAAAACTAAAAGGCAACCTACAGAATGGGAGAAGATATTTGCAATGACATATTAGATAAAGGGTTAGTATCCAAACCTGTAAACAGCTTGTCAAACTCAACACCCAAAGAACAAATGGTCCAGTAAAGAAATGGGCAAAAGACATGAATAGACACATTTCCAAAGAAGACATCCAGACACATGAACAAATGCTCAACATCACTCATTGTCAGGGAAATACAAATCAAAACCACAACGAGATACCACCTCAATCCTGTCAAAATGACTAAAATGAACAACTCAGGGAACGAAGATGTTGGTGAGGATGTGGAGAAAGAGGAATGTTTTTGCACTGCTTATGGGAATGCAAACTGTTGCAGCCACTCTGGAAAACAGTATAGAGGTTCCCCCCAAAATTAAAAATATAACTACCCTATGACCAGAAATTGCACTACTAGGCATTTATCCAAGGGATACAGGTGTGCTATTTCGAAGAGGCACATGCACCCCAAGGTTTATACCAGCACTATCGACAATAGTGCAAGTATGGAAAGCACCCAAATGTCCATCGACAGATGAATGGATAAAGAAGATGTGGTATATATATACAATGGAGTATTACTCGGCAATCAAGAAGAATCAAATCTTGCCATTTGCAACAACATGGATGGAACTAGAGTGTATTATGCTAAGTGAAATTACCCAGTCAGAGAAAGACAAATATATGACTTCACTTATATGTGGAATTTATGATACAAAACAGATGAACATAAGGGAATGGAAAAAATACTATAAAAACAAGGAGGGGAACAAAACATAGATTCTTAAATACAGAGAACAAACTAAGGGTTGCTGGAGGGGTTGTGGATGGAGGAATGGGCTAAATGGGCAAGAGACATTAAGGACGACACTTGTTGGATGAGCACTGAGTGTTATATGTAGGAGATGAATCACTGGATTCTATTCCTGAAATCATTATTGCACTATATGCTAACAAACTTGGATGTAAATTTTTAAAAATAAATAAAAAGAAAGAGAAAAAAACCATCAAGCTTAAATTGTCCATATGTTAAAAGGAACACCTTTTAACAATATTTCTGCATCAATCAAGTTACAGTGAAAAATACTTTGCTAACATTGTTTGTTCTAACTGGCCCTCAGTACCTGAATATGTTCAAACATGGTGTGTCATTGACAAATGGCACTTGAATTACCTTCTTTGCAGCAGTCACAAAACACTTTCAAGCAAACACATATACTGCAGTAGTTCTAAATGCTTTTGAAATTTTTTATGTTTTTCTCAGTCTTAGCAACCCAAAGTTCTACTTCATAAGAAGCTTGCAATGCACTCATGTTTATGTGTAAAATATTGAACATCTGCTTCTGTTGACTTTTTAAGTTAATAATCTGTCTTTCAAATAGTTCTTTGGTTTTGAACTTAATTTTTTATGCTTTTTATGTTAATGCCATGTAAGTTTTGAAAGTTTAATTGCCTCATTAGCTATTACATTTCCACAAATAATACAGTGTTGTTTCAGCAACTTACCATCAATTATGGTAAATATATGAGAGGTCATACTTTTAAGTAAAACTAGTATGAACTCATTTGATCCCCTTTCTTCAGAATCATTTTTATTGTCATCATTTGGTTTATTTCTGCTGCTGCATTCACAGAGTTGAAGCTTGTTTCATCAAATGCAAATTAGGGTTAAAATGAATAATACAATGTTTACTTCCCTAATGTAGCTAGTAATATTAAACTATAATTTTTTTAAAGCTCAGTGAAAACTTTAAACGATTGTATAAATTAAAAGTTATAATAGATTGGGTCTATGATAGTTATATAACAGCCTAAACTTAAATGTCTTATGGTGCGTCATGTTTCAGCTGTGCTTGAAAGCACATACAATTTGTCACACAGCTTTGATAGCAACCACAGTCCTTTATGCTCTTTAACAACAGGACTGCACCGGTCACTCACTTGGATGATAAAAGCACTATAAAATTTTCTAAGTGTTTACTCTAATTTCTGCATCTGTCTTCTTGTAGACTGGTAGCAACATGTGGCCTGACACCGCTCATGGACCATTGCTTTCTGAAAGGCGCCATCATTAGAGGGAGTTTCAGACAGAGGTGAATGTCCCAGCTGGTTTCAGCTTGCCCTCCCTGCTACTCATACAGCATGCCACTCTCTTTCTGCTGACCCAGGGTCACCACACATCCATCACCAGATGCTCAGTCAGGTTCAAAATAACTCTAGGTCACTCACTGCTACTTGCTTCTCATTCCCTCTCACCCAATTTTGAACAGGTGTGTCTATCAGTCCCCATGTCACTGTTATATGGTGCAAGTGTGGGGACAGACACTTCTCTTCCAACCTGACAAATCTCCGGATCTCTGGTTGCCACTACTGGGGAGCCCCGGTGTTAACCCTAGATGATGCAGGTCCTGAGACACTGACATATTTTGTCCAGGCACTAGGATTTAATAGATAGTGATTCATCCATTTCTGTTCACTTATTCTACTTATTACATTCTATTCCACCCTAGTATTTTTCACTCTGTGACCTTCCATCTGTTTTCAATTTACTTCCCTTTCCAGAAGTTTTTGTTTTGTTTTGTTTTGTTTTGTCTTTTTAAGCAGGGCGACTTCATTATTATTCATTTTTTTCTCCCTCCTTCCCTCCTTTCTTTTCTTCCTCTCTACCCTTCTTCTTTCCTTTCTTTTTCTTATGTCACTGTAGTAACCGAGCTAAAATGTTTCTTCTCATTACTCTAGAGACTGGCTAACATATCCATGTTTTGTTTCTTCATGTGTCTTCCTCCTGTTGTCTTACCTTTATCTCATAGCCTCCTCATTACTTTCAGCAGTCCCAGGGCTGGATTCTTCAACCTGGCCCTAATGTGACAGTCCACATTTTTTCTTTTGTAATCATTGCTAGGTTCAAGTCACATAAGTGTGATTTTTGTTAGACAAGGGACAAAAATTTTTTGATTTATGTACCCCTTTTGTAACCTTTTTCTTTTGCCTAAAATAATTTTTCCTATTTAGACATTACATACAGCAAATTTCTGTATTCTTCCTTTTTTCTAATAGATTAGCACACACATATGAAGTTGCATAAAACATGCATTTGGAGTGTTAAAAATAATTCTGAAATATATACCATGTAACCATGAACCAAATCAATCAACAGAACACTTGCCAGCAGAGAGTCCCCATTTATTCTTTTGTGATCACACACACACTACCTCCTTGCAGAGAACCAGCATATTCTGACTTTTGTGGTCATCATTTCCTCATCTTTTCTTTCTACTTTTAATATGCTTATTCATATAGATTAGTTTTTCTTGTTTAGATCTTTAGGTACCTGAGAACATATTGTGTGAATTTTCAGTGTTTGTTTCTTTGTTAAACATGTGTTTCTAGGATTATATTATGGTATGTAGATCTAGTTTGTTCATTTTCCTTTCTGTATATCAGTTCCACTCAAAGTAGTTCATTCTCAAATGACAAGTCCACAAGGAATGTAAATGAACACACGAGAATGTAAATCAATGTACTGCATCTTCATTGGGAAAATCTTCCTAAAACAAACAAAACCTAGTGTGATTAGTGAAGTAATCGATTGTTTTATTCTGGTAAAAATTCCTTATCTCTTCATAGATCAACAACAGGCATTTCTTTTGCCACTGGCAGTTGGCGGACCACATTTGAAGTATAGTAAAATCTTGGTTTGCAAGCAAAATTCATTCCAGAAACATGCTTGTAATCCAAAGCACTTGTATATCAAAGCAAATTTCCCCATAAGAAATAATGGAAACTCAGATGATTCATTCCACAACCCCCCCAAAAAAATTCATGTAGAAATGATTCTAGGGGCGCATGGGTGACTCAGTTGGTTGAGCCTCGGACCCTGGCTCAGGTAATGAGCCTCGGACCCTGGCTCAGGTAATGGCTCAGGTATGAGTTCAAGCCCCTCATCGGGCTTGCTGCTATCAGCCTGCCAGTGCAGATCCCACTTCAGATCCTCCATCCCCTCTATCTGCCCTTCCCCCACTTACGCTCTCCTCCCAAATGAATAAATATTTTTAAAAAAATTATTCTAATACTGTAATATAATACCAAATAATGAAGAAAATACAAAATACAAAGAAAAATCAAAAAATTAACTTTCACTTACTTTTGAAAAGTTTTGTGGCTGGTGTGAGGGAGGAGAGAAGAGAGTTATTGTGTAGGAAGACTTTCACTATACTAACAGAATCACTGCTGTCTGTTGGCTCAATGGAATCTTTTTCTGCATGGAGGCCATTGTATACACTCACGCAGATGTTGACTACATACAGTACAGTATTAATAAACTTTTCATGTAATGTATTTAATGTAACTGGCAATAAGGCAGCAAAGGAAAGGGTCTATATCTGCAGGCAGTCTGACCTAGAATGAAGCAAAGCATTCCTAAGCTTACTCCTGTATGGAAAAGCAAAGGACTGTCCATAGGTGCTTCGAAGTGACAAAAAATACACTAGTGCCAGTCGTGGGCACCTTCCAATATTCTGAAAAATCACTGATTTATGCCAAACACTGCAGCCTGAGACTGAGCATCTGAGCATGGGAGAAGATCACCCAAATTCCCACAGCAAGAGAGAGAGAGAAGAACCATTGGCTCAGTTGTGATCATGTGACATTCTACAGCAATACTACTCGTATTGCAAGACATCACTCGTTTATCAAGCTAAAATGTATTAGAAATGTTTGCTCATCTTGCAGAACACTTGCAAAACATGTAACTTGCAATCCAAGCTTTTATTATACTTAGAACTGCTATATAGGATTTTATTGATTAACATGACACATTCTATTTTTCCATCCTATTGATTGAAAATTATGTTGTTTCTAGTTTGAAACAACATTAAAAAACCCAGTTGTTTCATATCATCAATAAACACTTGGTAATGTTAATTTTAAAATGTTTCCCAATATGGTAGGTATAGAGTAGACTTTCATTATGGTTTTACTTGGCATTTCTATATTATTACTTTATGGTATCTTTGAAGAACAAAAATTCTTAATTCTTGAATTTGTTAATCTTTTCTTTACTGTTTAGTGCTTTCTTTTCTTGATTAAAAGAGCTTTTTCCTATCCAAAATAGGAAGATATTTTTCCATAATATCCTCAAAGAGTTAATAGTTCTACATTTTATACTTACACCTATCCCAAATGATTTTTGTACAAGGCAGGGGCTCATTTTTATTTTTTCCTACAAGTTTCCCCTCCCTCTCTACACTCATACCTTTGTGATAAATCAAGAGGTGTGTTTCTAGATTCTTTTCTCTGTATTGCTCTTTTTCTATCCTTGTGTCAATATCACAATGACCGTAGATTCAAAGTAATCCTTGATATCTGACAAGTAATATTTTCCTAGGGTCTGAATTTTCAAGTTTAATTGCATAAAGCTGTTTATAATATCTTGGACATCATGAAGGTTTGTTGTGGAGACTCTGGATACTCTTCTAGTCCTCTAAGAGAGATGATGTGTTTTCTTTAGAAGAAAATTACCCTGGTTAGTCTCAAACTGAAAACTCAGCCTTGCCTAAGTACACAGCATATTGAATCTTCATTTTCCTTACCATATTCAATTCTTAGCCCAGAATGTTTTCAGTTTACCTTATGAATGCATGTTTTGAAGGTGAGCCAGAAACATGAACAGAATTTAGACACAGAAACGTTGAGTCTTTTCTCTATTTTTGGATCTCTCTCTCTCTCTCTCTCTCTCTCTCTCTCTCTCTCGCCTTTCTGAAATTCTATCCAGGCTGACACAACTCATTCCCTATTTTTCTAGCCAGAACAATGAAAGGCACTCTATTTGAGTTTTGTGAATCACTGCAGCTACCCTCAGTGTAAAGTTCCCAAAACAGGAAATTCACCCAGGCCAGTCACCTCCTTAGATTTTGGGTCCTCTTCAAAACTGGCCTGCTTTTCCTTACTTTCGAGATCTTCATATTTTGCCTAGATATTACAGTTGTTATCTGTGAGATGTTGGTTTATTAAGAATTAAGTTTTCCACAGTGAAAGTAGAAATTCTCTTTGCTCTTTCTGAAAAATAAGCAAATGTCTTCTAGGTTCTCATTTTTTCCCATATTTTGACTATTTTATCTCTCTGACATTAAAAAAATATGTTGGTGGGGGGAAATTTTTGAAAAAATTATCCTCTGTGAGAGGGTTATTGGCTCAAGTAACATAATATATTTCCACTGAATGGGTAAGTCCTAATGTGATTTCCAGAGCGTGTTGGTACTTTATGTAGGTTTCCTAGATTAGCTAAAAAATCTTTGTCTCTCAAGGATATGGACTACCCAAGTAGTAAAACTGTGGAATTCTAGACTTTGTTCTCTTTGGCATATACAATTAAACTACAAACTAAGGAATCCACACTAAAAAATACAATTATCTAAAATGGGTGTTACATTACAGAGAGTTTAATATAATTATTAGGATGACCCTGTGCAATAGTTGAGAGAGCCTTTGAGTGTGGATGACGTTCAAATCCATTCAAGTCTCAACTACAGTGTGGTGCCACCTGGTGGTACTTGTCAGATTCAATTTAAATATTAATAGATTTTTGGCTCTAGGGGTTATTAGAGTTTCTAGGACAGTGTCAGTCATTCCATGAGTCTTCCTGTTAATTGCTCATATCTCTAGGCCTAAGTGGAAGAGACCTGAACAGAACACTGGAGCTCCTGGGCCCACTTCCGTCTCCCATCTCTTCCTAAGTCTGGGCTGCCTGTTGTTTACCCACTTGCACTGTTCATCCACTCCAACTGCCCCTTTATTTCCCTCCACAGAAGGTAAACACTCTAGCTTCCCTAGGTTGAGAACTGGATGTGGGATGAAAACAGAAGTTTATCTCTGATCTTATGTCAAAAACTTTATTATAATAATATTAATTTTTGGGGCAGTTAATTGTATATTCTCAATCCAAACTCCAGACTTGCAATGGTAAATGTACTAGAAATGATGACATGATTGCAATGGTTCCTTAGGCAAATATTCCTATTTTTAAAATATATACAATTTTGACTCCTCTGAAGTTCACTTTTCCAAAATGAGCATTTTTCTTTCTATTAAATCTCCAGGTATAAAACCAACTAACTCTAGATCTTAACTATAAGCTTCTGCTTATCCCCAAGAAAGTTATTTACCACTTGGTTTCTTTGGGGGCTCATTTGGAAGATGAAACAAAACAGTGTCCCCACAAACCATCCTTTTGGATTACTACTCACAGCAAATCTCCTCTTAACATGCCCTCTCCTCCTCTCCTAGCCACTTATGAGATTCATAGATTGTCAAGTTTTCTCTTTCATTAACTTTTTCTCTTCCTGTTTGCTCCTCCCCAGCTTTTATTTTCAAATAAGAGCAAAGGACACTGTACATTTAGTTAGAAGTCAGTGAGAAAAATTCAGGTCAATGTAATTTTAAAAACACCTGTGCTTATCTTGCTGTTGTTATCACTTGGTTTAGACTACTCTACCCCCCTCTCCCTGTGCTTACCTTACATGTAGCAGGCTGTCAGTGTCCCAGCTTACCTTCTTTGCCATGGTGTCATCAGTTATTTCAACTACTAGAATATATATGCTCTATATATGCTCACTCTATATATGCTCACTTCCCTGAAATTTAGTAACCTGGTTATTTTTTCTTACCAACATACATGCTTTTTGCTATTGTTTAAGACCATTTCATGTTTATGTTTATGTTTAAGGCAATGATGAGCTGTCAACACGTGAGAAAGAATTGACTAATGCAACAGACATGCAACTTACTTTCATCTATGAAACTTCTGGTGTTATTAGAAAGAGTATATCCATGAACATTATTAAAGAATGTTATTTTACGTGAAGTATTCAGAAATATTTCCTACACTTTGAATGTTTAAGAAATAATACTTACATTGCCATTTTCAAATTAAACTTGTCACAAAATCTCAGAGGTAAGCTTATGCGATATTTTTATAAGATAAATACAAGCAGACTTAGTATAAGAGCACTATATTCTGATAGTTTATTCTTCTGGGATGGAATAATGACTATGCATAAAAAACTCTCCCAAGTACCAAGATACACTACCTGAATAGAAGCTGAATTGCAGTAGTACTGTGATAACTACTCTATATAAGAAGCAGATTCATTTAGTGTTTTAAAGCATAAAGTCTGGGAATTAGATTTAATGTGTTTAAATTACAGCTCTGAGACATACTATAGATATTAGCTGTCAGATCTTAGACAGGTTATTAATTTTTTTGTACCTCCTTTGATTTTCTCTGTCCAATGTGCCAAATAAGGGTTATTGTGAGGATTAGGTGACTTAATGAGTAAAAGCATATGGATCATATGTGTTTACTATTATTATTACACAAGATAAAATATGTAAGTATTGTTGCCAGTTTTGTTATTATTATGACAATATTATTGCTTTATATAAACATCTATCTATCATCTATATATACATATATAGTAACAATGTTATAACATATATGATTATATGCCAAAGTACAGAATGTATCCTTCTTCTTCCTCTTCTTCTTCTTCTTCTTCTTCTTCTTCTTCTTCTTCTTCTTTTTGGAGTCCTAACATTACTTGAATATCACTTCCCTAGGCAACAGTACAGTGCACTTATCATTCATTTGTTCAAAATAGAATGCCATTGTCTTTCATGAGGACCCAGGAGAGCACCAGACAAGGGTCCCTTCACATGTGAATGTGTGTGTTCTCAAAAAATCCATTTGTAGCATTTGGTAGCAGGTATTTTATTTCTCTGCCTTTTTTGACAAAAAACATTGCATTTGGGTGCCGGAAGTAGTTGTCCCAGGTCACTCAGTTAATTGGGATAAAGGCCCCTCTGTCTTGTCATAAAATACAGTTGGCCAGTCACAATCCCTTCTACTTAGTGACCACAAAGTCTTTCTATGGAGAAAACACCATCAGAATTCCAAAAGGTATTACCATGGAAATTGTACATCAAAACCGTTCTATTCAATTGTATTTGAGCAACAAAGCTATAATTCTAAGAACCGTGTATAGCTCTTGAGAAAAAAATTCTTACAAATTTTTGAGTTTCGTCAATCATCATGTTAATATTACTATCTGGTATCACCAGAAAAAATAATTGATGTTTTCATCATAATATATATACAAAAAACAAGGAAATACATGCAATGTTTATCAAGTTTTACAGTGAAAATCAAAAGAGGGAGAAGAGAATTAGTAAATATGTGAATACTTTGAATATATTGATTTGCATGCATTGACCACTTCTTTCTGGGGTAATTTGAAAAGTGAGCATTTTCAAGTTAGGAAAAATGAAGTGTAATAGCTTCAAGTGGAAATTAATTTTGAACATTTACAGAATAGGGTGAGGATATTCATTCATTTGAATTAATGTTGTACAAAGTTCAAGTAAAAATTTAAATCTAGGGGCGCCTGGGTGGCGCAGTCGGTTAAGCGTCCGACTTCAGCCAGGTCACGATCTCGCGGTCTGGGAGTTCGAGCCCCGCGTCAGGCTCTGGGCTGATGGCTCAGAGCCTGGAGCCTGTTTCCGATTCTGTGTCTCCCTCTCTCTCTGCCCCTCCCCCGTTCATGCTCTGTCTCTCTATGTCCCAAAAATAAATAAATAAACGTTGAAAAAAAATTTAAATCTAAAAATAAAGAGGAAAGTAATTTTCTATTTAATTATCATGCATATTATATATATATATATATGTATATATATATCAGTGTTACATACTTAGTGCAACCTTTAACAGACTCTAGTAAAAAGTCCCATTATTGTGAGAGAGAGAGAGAGAGAGAACACTGTCTTGGAAATTACCCTGGGATTTATACAGCTTGTAAGTAAACCACAATTGTGTAAAAAACATCAAAGGATAGAATATTTATAATACAGTGACATCTATTAATAGGATGGCAATTTTTCTGCTTATGTTATCTTTATTAAACTTGTGAGTATTATGCTTACTGAGATGTTGTAGAGATTAAAATTGAGTTATTTGGAATAATAGTGCTATGGAAATTTAAAGTATCTTAATAATAATTTTTAAAAAACCTATCATGTAAACCATTTCAGAAACTAGCTTAGCAAACCTATAACATTAACAACAATTCTAATTAAATAGAGCAACACATGTAACAGCTTTGTTACTCAATCTCTAGCTAGGGGCATTCCCAAAATTTCTCAAGCTTTTTTTTGTTGAAAATATTTCTAAAAAAAAATTAATAGTGTATCTTTTTTGCAAAATAATAGAAACAAGATTGTTCCAGGTTTTAGGATCAAGTAATAGCACAGGGTCACCATTATTACTGGTTCTTTAAATAATAGATATAGAACTAATGGTGATAATGGTGACCTTGTGCTATTATTATATGTTATATAAACAATATATATAAGCAATTTATGTGAGTAATTTCTTACATATAATTTGTTTATATAAACTTTTCCTATATATGTATATATGTAAATTGTTGTCATTCTTTCTATATGTGTGTGTGTGTGTGTGTGTGTGTATAAACCTTCTTTCTCTTTCTGTGTGTATATATATAATTTCTATAAATGCATAAAACATACAGGGTAGAAACTTAAACAGACTAATATTCTTTTATTTTTAGTTATTTTATTTTATTTTTAAGTAATCTCTATATCCAGAATGGGGCTGGAACTCACAACCCCTAGATCAAGAGTCTCATGGTCTATCATCTGAGCCAGCTAGGGGCCCCTAGACTGACTGAGTAAAAATCCTGATACTCAGACTTTACACAGATTAATTGCATCGGAGACTCTAGAATGGAAACCAGACATCAGTGAATTTAAGACTCCTCATATTTGAGAACCACTGCACTTAAACATAACTCAAAGTTACCTGCAACATCAAACAAATCCTTAATGTTAGCTTATTTTGTTGCCATTTTTCTGTTGATAGTTTGATTGGAACTTCCAGCTAATCCAGGTTTTATTGTAATGAATATAATGGCTTACATTTTAGACACTTTTTGTTTGTTTCTCCAGGCCCATTACTAGCAAAAGATAGATTCGAAGTAGTTACAAGTGCCTAATTATGGGTATTATACTTCCCATATAAATAACAGAAACAGAACACCTGTGGAAGTTTGATTTAATATTTATATCTAATTATCTTTCAATTTTCAGCTTAATTTCAATATTGTTTAGTTCATTTATTCCTGTGATATAGATGCTTTCAAAATTTAGTGGCTTAAACAACAAAGATTTTGATTTCTCATAAATAGATTTCCCTGGTGGTTCTTCACTTCCTTTCACTTGCGCTCATGCACACTCATCCATTTAGATGAAGACTAGAAGAGCCACATTCTATTTACCAAAACAGTTTACATGTCCAGCCCATACACGGGAGAATAGACAAATAGACTCCACCTTTTGATGGTGAGAACAGCAACCTGCAATGTCATGTTGCAAGGTGTACGATTAGTTGGGAAATATTATAATGATTTACCACAAATATATATGCTCAAATACTCAGACACTCAGTTTGCCTACATGTTCAAATTTGCCTATGCACAGATCAACCAATTCTGAAAGCAAAACTTCACTTAATCCCCCAATAACATGAGAATCCAACTGATGCATTAGTGGTCCAGCACTTCTTCCATTCTTCTTTTAGAATTATAGTTATCTATTTTGTGCTCAAAATATGCACGTGGTGGCGATTTCATCTGTGAAAACTTGGGGGACTTATTATTAATCATTATAACTGAGTACAGATCCTTTCTCAGCATGACTCATAAATATCTTTGAGTTTTAAAGCTCTTTATAATAATATTAATTTAATCTGTAAAATGACATTGCTTGCAATAAATTCCATTTACAAATCTGAATAGGCAATGAATAGAAAGTGGTAGTGTCATTGCAAATTTTTGATGGAGAATGAAAAACAACGGAGCATTGGAAAACATGGAAATATCTTCTTGCTTCTAAAAGATCCTGCAAAGCTGTGACACTAATGAAGATGGAGTTGGCTCCGATGGATTTGCCTATATGCCATTTACTGCCAAAGAAATTGTGATCTAACTAAAAATCTATTATTGATTATTCAATTTAGTGTTTGTATATTTAAATGTTATTCAGGTTAGAATCATGTTGAAATTTGGATTTCCCATCTTAGCACACTGCTGCTGTGGCTAACAACAAAAATGTTAAAATAAAATCATCTTCAGAGTATGATATGACCATTGGAGGGCTGTTTCCATTTTGTGGTTCATGGCTTCTTCTTAATATCTGATAATGCAATTATGTTTCAGCAAAGAATGAATCTTCTCCATAAAGTAGGTCATGCCCAGAATATTGATGATTTAAATAAAATAATATCACAGCCTTAAAAAGGGTCTTCATTTAGAGATGGTTTTTGCCATGTAAAATATTATTCAAAAATAAGATCTTATCTCCCCTCCACCAAGAAGAAATGTGTAAGAGTAAGGATTTGGTCTCAAATTGTTGAGTGATAATATTGTTGGAATTGAACTTGCTTTTTTTTTTTCTTTCTATATTTTACAGCATAACAGTGAAACAAAGGGATTGTTTTTCAGAAACAAAGAAGTGTCTTAAAACTACTCAACACAATTTGAATCTTTCCTGAAACTTGATCTACATATTTCCCGGCAATGTATTTTTACCAACCTTCAAACTAAACTTCTTTGTTAAATGTATGACTTGATGGCGATGTTGGATATGAAACTACTGTAAGTACTTTCCCTTTTAAATTTCAGTTGTCAAGTCACGTTATCTAGTTTATACTTCTCTGAATTATATTCAGTGCTTTCCCATTCTTTGCTAACACAACATCTCATAAAATCACATAGGGTAACATAATATGACAGTTAAATTTAAGAGACCTCTTATTTTATTTGAAATTCAACCAATGTTCCAATTTAATGGCAATAGATGATTAGAGAAGAAATGACATCCTCATTTCAGAGATATTTTTACTCCAATGTATTTTTAATGCTCTCATGTCTTTTATTATTTTGACAGGTTTTCAGAAACAGTTTCAGAAGCCCTTGTTTGGGCCCTGATTTTTTCCAATGAGAGATATTTAAAAGTTTCATGAGCACACTATTGTAATACATGATACTATTGAATGAAAACATTCTTAAAAGGTAATTTAAATATTTACATTGTTGATAAAACCTTCTAGTGAAAACACCTGCCAAATAACTAGGAGGCAAATGACTTTCTCTACTCAATAGCATGCAATCTGAACCAGAACTCACCAATAATGATATTGAAACAGTTCTGATGACACAGTGATGGCACTTACTGAAAAGGGGTCATGATATGTAAGCATATGATAATATATCTGATAATTAGAAGCAAAAGACAAATCAAATAACAAAAGATGCATACACAAGATCGGATGTTGATTTAAAAAAATAATATACTCTTCTTCCTGGACATTTTAAGTGTCTTAAAAGATATCATCTCTAAATAAACAATGCTTTCATGGGAAAACAAACACACCTTGGTACTTTTCAGGTAGTATTTTATACACTGCAAATTCTAGAAACAAAGTGGATTCACATGTATTGCACCACGTGATCCTCACAAACATCTGCAACTCCATTGATTTCTCCTGTTAATCAATGGAAAACATGAAAATCTCCAAGATCAACTGGCTTCTATATTCCACAAAATCATGTGGCAAAGTCCCAATGATGATTTCAAGTTGCCGCTTTACCACAGGTAAAGTGCTGTCTTTAGTGACATATGCTGGTCTGACCCTCTTCGCCAAGCGCATTATCCTGGACTCATGACTAACCAAAACTCCAAGAGGTTTTTGTTTGTTTGCTTGTTTGTTTTAAATGTTTTCAATTTATAGCACTTGTGCTTACATTTTGTGTGTAGGTCTCTTTGCCTTCTAATGCAGTAAAATTTAATGCAGTAAAATCTTAAGTACTGAAAATTTATAAAGAGAAGCCATGAACCTCTTTTAGCAGGTGCAGTTGGGCGGAGACAGATCCTATAGGGCAAAAGAGCCATCAGAGCAATACAGGGCTAAGATATTACCTGCTGTTTACAGAACAGCCTCTAAGGAGTTTAAAGCACGTTACAAATCCAATTTGACTAATCCCAGTGAAGGGCGTGGAGCTCTGCAGAGAACTGCAAATGATCACTGCTCTCGTTTACCATCTCCACTACACTGAAGAGGGACTGTGCCTTCTACTCGAGCATCATAAATCTGTGACACAGCTCAGGCTGGTGCAACACGAACGAAAGCTGAGGAATGAGGCAGAGAAAGACAATGGAAAGAGGGAAGAAGCTAAAATTATTAAAAGAAAAAAACATTGTTTCCTTGCCTCACTAAAGCCTTCCAAGGTCTGGTCCACCTCGACCGCATGTCGAACACTGCTGCTCCTCTCTCTCCATATCTGTCGTGTTTAATATTTGAATGTATTAAATCATGGCAGCTGGTCATTTTAAAGTTTTGCCCACTTTATCAGGAGACTAACATCCCAATAATGTTCATAGTTTTAGGGGGACGGCTTCCAATTCTACCAAGGTTTATCTTTTTTAGTTTTTCTCTTCAAACTTAATTGCTTAAGTAGTTTATAAATATAGTAGCTATCTTTTCAGGAGCACCTCTACAGTGACAGCCACTCTTAAGGTGCAATTTTCCTCCTTATACGATTTACTCCTCATTACAAACTTACAAGTATTAGTGTACAAATATGATTGAATAGTACTCAACCTCAAAAAAGAAGGAAATCCTGCCATATGCGACAACATGGGTGGACGTGGAGGACATCACGCTAAGAGAAACAAGCCAGATACAGAAGGACAAATACTGCATGATTCCACGTATATGAGGTATCTAAAATAATCAAATTCATGGAAGCAAAGAATATAATTGTGGTTTTTAGGGGCTGAGGGAGAGCAGAAATGAAGATTTGCTGGTCAATATGTATAGAATTTCAGTTATGGGGGATGAGTAAGTTCTCATGAGCTACTATGCAACATCATGCCTATAGAAAACACTTAAAAATGTGCAAGGGTGGAGCTCATGTTACATGTTATTACCACAGTAAAAGAAACATAAAAAGAAAAATAGACTCCATGCTCATTTGAGTTATGAAGAAGCAGAGATTCAGAGATGTTAAAGAAATGCGCCAGGGTTATAGAGATGGTAAGTGGTAAAGCAGAACACACTGTTATCATTCAAGGTTCTCAAGACAAATATGAGCAGAAACTACAGATGGAGATTATAATATTATCTATTAGCTATATGATACATAATATTATTATATATACAAAATATATATAGAGAGAGAGACTTGAAGGAGTTGACTTGTGTGATTTTGGGGCCTGGCAAGTCCTAAATTCACACTGGAAGGCAACTGGCTGGAAACTCAGGTAAAATTTGAAGTTGCAGCTTGAGTCCTAAATCTACAGGTCAGGACATCAGGCTGGAAACTCAGGAAAGGATGTCTACATTACAGTTTTGAGGAAGAATTCCTTCTCTGGAAAACCTCAGTTTTTGCTTTTAAGGTTTTGGACTGATGGGATGAGTGAGGTCTACCCACATTTTTGCAGGTGATCTCCCCTACTTAAAGTCAAATGTGACTTGTATCTACAAAATACCTTCACAGCATCATCTAGAGAGAACTTGACCAAGCAGCACTGAGCACCATTTCCTAGCCAGGAAATGGTTTTAGTTGACACATAAAATCAACTGTCTACAATACCTAAAACCCCAAACCATGTGCTGAACAGTCACATGGCAATGCTTTCAATATCTGAAATTTTTGGAGTTCAATATCTTACCTATAATTATGTAATATAAGTTGTTGGCATTCCAATTACCTATTTACTTCAATGCATTTTTATTATGTAGTAAATATGTGTGTGTATGTGTACATATATGGATACATATATACATCTATATGTATATACTAACCAATTTAGACTGAGACTAATAGTTGGCCAATCAGAATTAACAAAAAGTAATAAATAATATTTGTTTTAAATGTTAACACATTTTAAAGCAAAGAAGGTGTAGTTTACATAAATTTCATTAATTAGCAATTTATACTATTTTGGTGATTAATGCTGTGTAAACTTTTTATGTTAAATAATTCTGTAAACCAAACCTCTCTACCTATATATTTTTGACCTTTTTAATAATCTATGTGCCATGTAAGTGGCACCAATATTTTCCCTCCTCAGGTTGATGCACAGAACCACAAATTAAACTTGATATTCACCATGTGTGGTATTACATTATCTCAGACACTGTGTCCCCTTTGAAAACCACAGTGGAGCAGATGTGTGCAAAACAGTAGTCTAGCTTGTTATAGGTATTTGCTGCTATTTGGTCATGTACACTCATCCAAAATTTGCTCTGATTAGTAAGTGCCTGTAACTTTTATTTTGGTAAAGCTTCATTCTGCTAATCTCCTAAAATGGATCAAATCTAAATCTATGGCAGATAAGATCACTACAATTTTTCTTTGTAACCCGAGGGAGAAAAATACTCTAATATTTTTTTTATAAAACCTCTGCTTGTGGAGACTTTTCTATAAAATTAAATTTATCAAAAATGTGTTTTCCCCAAAACAACGTGTGTTGAAATGTATGATTTTCAGATCACATTTTGTTTAGATATTTTATAAATAAATGTCCCTAAGTAATCTGTAAAGCAGATTTTGTATCCGATTAATGCTTTAGAAATGAATTTGGTGGCATTCTAATTATAATTAATACCGTACTTAATACATTACAATAACTACTTTAATTCCCTTCAAAACTTGTTAATATTTTTATTAAAATTGAGAGAAAAATCTTCAAAGCTGTCAATAGTCAGAAAGACATTTGCTACCATAAGTGACTTCTATGATAATCACAAAAATGTGGACTTTAAAATATTATTAAGTGACAAAGTCACACAGGTTTTGAGAAATTACACCACAGTTGCTCATTAACAGGTCTACATTAATGTAAATCTCTTTAAAGATTTATTTTCTCATTGTTTTGAAGAACAGTAACTTTACTGATATATTAATGACCTAATTGTGACTAGCTGATCCCATTTTCATTTGAAGGATCGTTCCCTTGATCCATTCAATAAATACTGTATATGGGAAAACGGAATTTGGATTGATGGGCAAGAATTGTAATCAGCACGCACAGATTTATGGGTTGAGGGAATAATGTGATTATGCAAAGAAAAATGAAAAGATGTTTATGGGCCATTGAAGAACAACACAGAGTATTAGTGTTTAGTATGTCATGACTATGGAAGGTAGCAGGAGGAATTGTATGAAATTCTCATTGTCTTGTAAGTGTACAGGAGACAGAGTACTAGAAGTCTGTGTGTTGTGCCTTTATTTTCTTTTGTCAGTGACAGAATAAGATGGACTGTTGAAGCAGCAGAATCTTTGGAAATTCTCCAGATTCATATTTCTAAACAACATTAGTCCCCAGCAGTATGACTTTTGTAGGATTACATTGTTCTATAAATCATTGTCCAGGGGGATTCAGGAGCCAAAAATTAGTATTATCTGACAATTCCTGAAGCAGATAATCACCAAAATAATTTGAGTTGAATATCCTGACATCAAACAAATTATTTAAAAGTTAATGGATGAAGTTGGAACTGAAATTGTCTCGACATGAGATGTAATCATTGTATAAAAGAAGACAAAAAATGGCATAACACAAAGATGAATAAATTTGAGGACTAATATATATATTAGTATACATATATATTTAGGATTTAGACAAATAAAATCATCTGTGTAATTCCACAGTAGACCTTTTCTCCTTTTTCAGCTAGATTCGATGTCCCTTGTCTAAAAGTACCCAACAGAGATGAATTGGCATACTAAGAGTTCTGCAGATATGAAAAATGGATTCAATTTTTATATCAATTAGCTAATCAACAGCAATTAAGATTGCAATTAGTGAAGTGCCAACTTCAAAAACTGTAGAGCTTAGGCTCTCTTGGAGTAAACTGAAAGTAAAGTATGTTGCCTCTTCAGAGTTTATTGGACTTCATCAAATTTGCTGATATAACCAAACTCACCTGAATGAACTTTAAAAATTGATTATCTGTGAACACTTTATCCTGAAATGTGGATTTGTGTGTGATTTTGAAAACTAGGGAGAGTTTGTTGGAAAGTTGAACTTCATCTTTGCTAGTTGCTTCTTTTTATTTTTGACATTTTTATTGCCCCAAATGTAAAGCAAACAAAGTTTGCTAATATTTTATTCTGATTTACAAGCTTCACAATAGGTTTCAAAATTGTTTCCTGCTAGATAGAATATTTTAACTAGTAATTTTTAACTATTAAAACATTGTGCATTTCCCATCAATAACTAGATGAAATTTTGTTTCCTATAAGGAAGTTCATATGACTTCATTACAAGTGAATCTGATGTTTTCAGAATTTCCTTAGAAAAATGTCTCTGCATCTTGTCATCTTAATTCGTAATTGTTAGCTCATTATATTGACTCCCTGAGATAACAGTGACATGGAAACCTATCTTTTGCTAGCATATAACATAGACCAATTTGAAAACAACTTGATTCCCATGTAGGTGATTTGTACTAGTAAAAAGTGTAAACATAAGGGGTATGTTAAATTAGTTTTTCACTTTGAGATGGGCATTCAAATAGACATAAAATTAATACCTGGCACTTCTGTTTTCATAATAATGGACTGTCAATGGCACTAATATTATTCAAAATTGGGAATTCAGTTTGAGTTTATAGTTCCACTATTTAAGAAAGTACATCCCCAATGGCTAAGATAGCAATCTCAGCAGTTAGAGACAGATGGGGCTAAGTCTTGCTTGTATTGCCACATCTTATATAGGGTTAACAGGGTTAACAGGGTTGCTTTTTATGTAGCAGGAGATCACAATGCTACCTGGATCTTTTTTTTTTTTTTTTTTCAACGTTTATTTATTTTGGGGACAGAGAGAGACAGAGCATGAACGGGGGAGGGGCAGAAAGAGAGGGAGACACAGAATCGGAAACAGGCTCCAGGCTCTGAGCCATCAGCCCAGAGCCCGACGCGGGGCTCGAACTCACGGAGCGCGAGATCGTGACCTGGCTGAAGTCGGACGCTTAACCGACTGCGCCACCCAGGCGCCCCAACTACCTGGATCTTAGGGTTGCTGAGATGATCGTATAAAATGATATATATCACTTACCAAGCCCACAGTAACTCCTAAAGACTTTTCTCATGCTTTCCTTCCAACACCCCCTTCCAGCTCACCCTTATTCCCCAGTCTAGACAGGATGAAGTATGAGCTCGTTGGCAAACCATGTCCTGAACTTGCCCACTTTTTACACCTTTGCTGAGTCACCAACCACCACCCAAGTTGCCTTCTCCTAGTTTCCCCTTTTAAAAAACTACCTACTTTTTAGAGCAATGCTTAGATATCCTTATTTATGAAATCTCACCCAATTTCCCCAGCCTAATGTTCTGGCTTTCTATGAAATTATGTTGCTTCTTTTTACACATTTCATATTTTTCCTGGGATTATATGAATTTGTGAGTGTGCAGTTTTAACTTCTTATAAGTAAACATGGATATACAAAAAACAAAAATCAAACCATTATAAAGTAGTAATTATGTTTATTCGTCTATATCTTGTCTTTCTGTCTCCATCGCTCCACCCATCAATCCATATTATCACTAACTTTGCTTTTTATCATTCTTCTTTTGCTCATTTTCTCTCTTACAAGTTTGTTTCCTACATGTCCATTAAATTTCCCCACCTATAGTCTCTGCACTGGCTATAGTCTCTATTGTGGATTATATTTCTCCTAGATGTTTAACAGACTGAGTCCTTCACCTCTTTCAAGACATTTTTTATTTTTATTTTTTAACGTTTATTTATTGTTGAGAGACAGAGAAGGACAGAGTGTGAGCATGGGAGAGGCAGAGAGAGGGGGAGACACAGAATCTGAAGCAGGCTCCAGTCTCGGAACTGTCAGCACAGAGCCCGACGCAGGGGTTCAACCCACCAGCTGTGAGATCATGACCTGAGCAGAAGTCGGACGCTTAACTGAGCCACCCAGGAGTCCCTATCCCTTTTAAATCACTACATATGGACTTTTTTTTTTCCTTAGCACTAACTACCTTCCAGTTTATATTACTCATTTATTGTGCTTATTGTGTATTTTTATGTAATCACGCTATAACACAAACCTTGTGAATGTTGTTAGTGTCTAAAAGAGAAACTTAATTACAGAGACACATATAAGATTTGTGCATGGTGTGTGGCGGTAGTTTCTTTATTCTCATTGCTGAGCAGTATTCCATTGAATGGGTACAATACAATAGCTTATCTATCCTATTCTATTGGTGAAGGTAGTTATTGTTAATTTGGGGTTATTTCTAATTTTTGACTTTTAATGAAGCCAAAATATGGTTCATTGAAAATATCAACAAATTAATGAAAACTTAACTAGACTAATTGTATGAGAAAGAGGAAGAACACAAATTGTCATTATCAGAAATTGAAGAAGGGTTAAAAAATCCTAAAGACATTAAGAGAATGAAAAGAAGTAAGTGCACAGTTTTTAACCAGCCAACTTGGCTACTTAGAACAAATTAAAAGAACTTTGCAATTGTGAGTTAGACAAAAAATTTTTAGATGTTACAAAAAAAACCCACTAACACATAAACAAAAATGATAAATTTGAGTCTACCAAATTAAAACCATTTGATCTTCAAAATATAAAATGAAATACAGGAAAAAGCAAGTGACATAATGGGTCACATAATTATATGACGCAATACATATAACTGACATAGGACTTGTAACCAGACTATATAGTCACTTCTTATACCTTCATAATAAGGAGGACAAAAACTTGAGAGTATGTTAGCAAAAGATATGAACAAGCATTTCAAAACAGTGATAGCGTAATGCTGTGAACACATGAAAAGATGCTGAAAATCA